TTATGGATCACATTGGTATAATAATATTTGCTGAATGTAGCCGAATAAAACTGAGGTTAAATTATGTGGTTAGCAAAATTGAAAGATTAGACAATGCACTGCGATGGTATAAAAAATTTTCACGAACAAATGTTTAAGTGCTGGATAAATCGAACAAGATTAACCTTTATGTGTTCATTAATGCGAGGAGTACGATTGTGGAGCTGAATAACTGGGGAAGGGAAAGTACTACATACAGGCTATGGAACGCACATTTATAGAAGGAGCTCAAATTCTACAAATATATTGTGTTTAATTTGTAGGTTAGTCATATTCGCACAAGATATTATGCCTGGTTAGCGGTAGAGTTTCCGTTAAATAAGCATGATCAACAATGTTTCATTAAATTACATACCAAAATTTCTTAAATGTTGACAGAAGTCGAAAATTCCGGTACAAAAAAGTCAATCAACTGGAAAAATAAAATAACTTAAGTAGATAACGACTGATACTCACCGCACAAAAGATGGCTTATGTAACTCAGGAGCTTAGTGGATGATGCCTTAGCGTTCGACATTGTGGGGCTGGGTTAGGGTCTCAGTGGAAGCACTACGCCTTACTGGGAATAAGGAGTCATTCAGGTGATAATTAACATATGGGATACACCCCATCAATGGCTGATTCCTTGATGTTGTGGTTTAACTTGCATATCGCAATAGTCCAATGAGTTAATTAGATGGAATGAATGTTAAGTGAGATCAAAACATACCAAAAAGGTCGCTTGGATAGCTTCCGGAATAAAAGTAATTACCATCACAGCGTAAGTTGTTTATTATATGTTGGCGTTATTTGGCGAAGTCGTACTGCTAGCCAGTAGGAATGTAACAGCAGTGGGGGGGTGTTCCTGTTAGACAACCAGCAACCTAACTATGCTGCTTCTCTGTTATCGTGAGGGGTTAGCAAAAGTCAACCTCGAAAATTCAACATTCCAACTTACCCTGAGGTGGTAAGATTAAAATGTGGCTACAACTCCAAAAGTCGGCCAAAACAGACCGTGTATTACCGTCCTCAGGAACTTGCCGTTCGGTCTCTGCGTACACGCTGCACGAAGAAGAAATCAAACTCCACAGCGTGGGCAGCCGAAAGGTAGTAAACACCTACACATGTACAACTGAACAAACGCGTTATAAGAAATAAAGATTCAGATACACGTCGAAGTACTTTCGTAATCTCCCCTTAGCTCCTAACAGAGTGCAATATGAACAAAGTAAAGAATGTGGTAGATCAAAAACTGTGTAGTTAGCTGCTAAAGGCAAAGTACTAAGATAAAGGTTTTCGAGTAATTTCAACACACAAGTAGCAAATCTGTGCCATTCAGAAAAGTATATTGGCAGAACTTATGAAATCACATGCTGACAAAAAGACAATAGTGACCGTTTCCTACAGCCCTTTTCAGACATTCATCCTCTTCTAATCAGCTTCAAATTTAAACATTAAGAAAGACGTATTATAATATAGAGAGCTCAATCATCAAATCAACGAAGGACTGAAATAGACCACGTAGCGATAAGATAACTACAGAAATATGCGACAGAAGATTGCTGCCTATTGAAGAATACCTTTATAGATTCTAATCAAGCGTCAGCTCGCAAAAGTATGTGCGCAAAAGTGAACGGAAATAAAAAAAACAGGCAACGACGAAGCCACTACGCCCCCAGATTCCTGACGAGAACGTATCTGAGAATTACAGCAACGCATCCAGTGGAAGCCTGGCGTATTATTCAAGCTGCTGTAAAAACAGCAATGAAGGTTGTTGATAGTCTCTAACTAAAGCTTAGTAAATGACAGTGGCTTTCTGCTGGTTCGTCCGCAATGACGAATGGAAAAAGACCACTCTAGACCAGTTCCGGATATGATGAGAAGCGAAAGCTGCTCGGACACAACCTGACCAAATGTCTCAAAAACGACTGTGAACAGTGATGGGCGGCTAAAGCCAAAGAAATGAGAAAGGCATCGGCTGTAAGTAACATAGTACGACTGTTTTAATTCATCATGGAGAAACGTTGAAAAAGATACATAATGGTTTTCAGAATAGAAGCGTGGAACGCTGGAGGTAACACTATGAGGAGCGAATTAACCTACCAATAGCCATATTCATTCTGATCAGCGTTGTCCACATTTCTGTTTAATTTCATCATACATGTACTAATAGATATAATCCTAGACAAATTCGGTGATTTACGGATGGGTTTGTTTCCAGGGAACAGTGTCGTATACTGAGAGTATGACGATGATAATAGTCAATCTAGATGAAGATTCTGACAAAATGTCAAGTCTCCTAAACACCCTGGGAAGGTGTCTTGTCTTGGTTGATATGACATACAACTCACTCCTGTCGATTGTCAGACGATGTAGAATTAGCCAGCCTACATCATCTGTGGCGTGAGCATGATATCTAGGTGTTGATCGAAGGACAGATGTAGTGCCCAGCACAGCTCTCAGATAAGGAAGACCCGAAGTGGCTCCCTGTATTCAACCAAATACGTTTGCCTTCAATCCCCCGTGCTGAGTGTTTCTATGAGACGGTTGATACTGAAGCTGGACGCAGATTGTTAGGTAAGGATGGAAAGTAAGTCAGTGAATTTGTAGAGCCGTCACGTGTTACTCATGCCCAGCCATCGTCATCCACATCGAGTAACATTACCTGATATACAATTTGGTTGGAAAAGTGTTAGGGACGGTCAAACCGAAACATGGTATCACTCCATGAAGTCTGACTGTTTGATTGATGAACTACTTGGGGAGGGGTGTAAACTGCAAGTTCGCGATCCTGGAGACTATTATTGATTTTTTGTTCCGAATCGTTCTAGGTGACTCAGAAACATCCACTCAATATGAACTCCCACGGCCATCGAATTCGTCATAAATTATTCTTCCTCACGTACATCTCTGTTCATAATGGTTCTTTTGGAATTTTCTCTACCTTTGTGTGCTTGTATCAATTGTGACAACTTGAACTACGGCACCTGTGGGTATATTTTCCACACTGCAACTCATACAGAAATATTGATTAAACCGCGCGTCCTGTGTTCTATTCCTAGCCACCATCAACCAAGTTACATACTTAAGTGTTTACTGTCATCAAGAACACTTAATCACTTTGTTCATCTGTGCTTTGGAGCTTTTGCTAGGAACCAGACAATAATCTATAGCTCAGTAAATAATCAGGTAATTGGGGTGGGTTGGACATGTGCTGAGTAGACCCCCAATCATTTCACACTAAGGTCTCTTAAGTTGAAACCGAAATGAGAAGAGACTGTAGGGGCATCTGAGTGTGATATATAGGTCACATTTAGAGTAACTGGAAGTTTGCTGGTAGTCACGGTGCCAGTTAAGTGACGGCGGAGAACCTAGTGTAATAGATTCGTGCCTCTGAAGCAACGAACAAATGATGACAGCAATAGATTCATTTGATACGAATGAAGAATATTTGAAACTGTTGGGACTCCTTTTTTGACAGTCGAAAACCAGATTTGATACATATGCTGTAATGTGGATTTATAAACTATTCCATGTAACGACAGTCCGTATTTTTTGGCTTGATTTACACTGGTAAACATTTAAAGTATAAGTTTCATGTTTCGAAACATAACGGATTATTATATTGAGAATAAGAAGTATCAAAACTTCTCTAATAACTATGTTCTTATTACTGATGTTATCAGTTGTGGACAAAATAATTTTCTTTAATGCCTAGTGTATTATTATTATTATCATATCCTTTAATTCCTAGAGGAGCATATGGCTTCAGCCGCGCGTCTCCATTGCCTTTGGTTTTCTTTTTTACTCCGCTCCAAGTCTGTCCACATGCTTTCATCTCCTCTTCACATGACCTCCTCCAAGTCACCTTAGGATGACCAACTCGCCACTTCCCTCTAGGGTTCCACTCGAGGGATTATCTAGTGATGTCACTTGATGGTTTTCTCAGAGTATGGCCACAATCCAATCCACCTCCATTTCTTCCTGCCTATTTGTTTCACAATCGGTTCCTGGTTGATTCGCTCATTGACGCAGATCCCTGTTGCTGATCTTTTCTGTCCGGCCATCTGATCTTCAGTATTGAGCGAAGACAACTGTTAATGAAGATCTGAAGTTTTTTTGAGATGCTCTTTATGACGCGCTGACCAAGTCTCTGATCCGTATAGGAGGACTGACTTCACATTGGAGTTGAAAACCCGGACCTTATTTTTGAAGGTGAGTGCTGTTGACCTCCACACAGACTTGAGAGTAATAAAAGCTTGTCTTGCTTTTCCGATTCTGGCTTTGATATCCTCATCAGTTCCGTTGGCCTGTAGTTGAAACGATGCTTCCCAGGTGGGTAGGTAAAGGAGGTTGTTTCTTTCAGGTTCCTCCCATTTATGCTGGCTGATTGTTGTCTGTTGTTGTTGTTGTGGCTGTTGGTGTTGGCCAGAAATCTTCATCACCTCTGTGTTATCAATGTTCACCTGAAGTCCTATCTTTTATGCTTCTTCGGCCTAGTGTAAAATGTGTATATGGAATTTAATTGGACTAGTGAAACTACATGTCCGGAACAGTTTTGCTGCATGTTAACTTTTCCATGAGGACACTGAGAATTTGTGCTTTAAGTCTAATTTTAACACAAAGATTTTATGCGAATATGAAGTAATTACAGCGGTGGCTTATTCAAGTAGATGTCTTTTTAAAAAACACCTTATTACTAAGAATTTAGTGTAATTTGGAATATTAAACTGACTTTTTTGTAGGTATTTAGACTGAAAAAACGGTTTGTTATAGTTTCGTCTACACTGCAAAAAATACTTTGAGCTCACGTAATACACACTCCCCAGAGAATATAACTAAATAAAGTTCTTTAAATACGTTAGATTGAAAAATCATCACATGATAATTAAATCATCAGTTTGATCAATGAAATTTCACATGATTACTAATAATTTCGTTGTGTGAGAAAATATCAGTGAGAAAAAGACCATTTTTCTTACCCATATCAAATCATCAATATCTTCAACTTTCGGAAGACATATCATATCTGGTCCTGGCCACTTGGACTCCCTTGAGACTGCAGAATCAACGGCAGCATTCAGGATTGTCGTTAAATCATCTATAGCGAAAGAAGTCTCTCTTCCATTAATACGTACAACCAGTTGTCTTCTCAGTGTCTCACGAAATGTCTTGAAAAGTCCACCATTTGTAGAAGTTATAGCTTGCGCAATTGTATTTCGAGCAACGGGCTAAGAAAACAGAAGCAACAAAGGAAAAATATTAGCTAAGTGATAATAGAAACTTTGTTTTTCCTGCATAGGGGGAATAGTTTACTTATCATCCTCATTATGACAAAAAAAGTCAACCTGATGATAAACAACAGAGTAAGAGGTAGGGAAATTAGTCGGTTAACACGAAAGCACTAAGAAGTTTAACAGTCAGAGAAAGAGGTAGAACCACAAAGTTTTATCAGGAAACAAGTTTATTTTTAAAAGGGTTTCTTTTGTAAGGAATAAAACAAGTATGAATAAAAAACTATCAGTCCAAAAGTGGTGACTGCTGAGTAGAGTGCAGATGCAATCAAAACCGTACACATGAAAATAACAAGAATAAAAGTAAAACAAATTCATCAGTTGGTTATAGGACAATGCCACGTGTCAGTCATGCGGAACTAACTCTCTGAAGGTGACATTCACCGAAACGTATACAACCGTTCTAGAGAGAAAGGAAACATGAAAACAATGGCTCTCAGCAAATAACTGGCAGCTGATATGGGAGAGGAGGACAGGGAAGGAGAAGATGAGTCAGTGCAAAGATCGACAACAGAAGGAGACACTAAGTCCAGTGTACACCGCATTGAATAGAGGAGTGAAGGGTGATAGGAAAGACAAAAGGCAATTCAACGACACACTGGCCGGCAACTGGAGTAGAACAGGCCAGTACAAGTGACCTCAGAACATTATGTCAGATAACCGGGTCTATGTTGGAGAAGAGATCAACCCAGAAAATGAAACCAATAAAAGACGCTCAAGGAAACCAGATTACCAAGGAGGAGAAACAAATAGAACAATGGGCTGATCACTTTAAAGGACTCTTAAAGCGACCATCATCTGAAGCTCGCCCAGAAATACCAAAACAATTTAGAAACACAGGGTTGGGTTATTCACTATGTTAGGTGTCTGAGAATGAAGCCTCATTGTCTGCGGATAAATGCTTAACAGATGTAAGGTACTTCTCCCGAACGACAAGAAAGCTAGCTATGGTGTTTCCCACAACAGGAAAGGGGGTTAGAAACTGTCAGTCTTACAAATTGTATTCCACCACCAACTACACATGAAACATTTCAGACGATTTTCAACCATGAAACTAACAGCCTCCAAGCATTAGTATTCTAGGCTTCCACGAACACCAACCAGACAGTCGATACTTAATAACGTGGAATCAACCAAGAGTAACACCATTAAGGCATTTCTGCAACGTATCCATTCCAGTCATATATTTTGATAGGATTTTTTAATCAAAGTGAAGCTGGGGCATCAGAGACAAACTTATATCACACTAGATTCTCCGCCATCACGTTTATCTCACTTCGTAACTACCTACAAGCATCCAATTACTTTTTACATGATCTTCATAACACCCGAAAACGCCCAACAAGTCGATTTTCTCACCACTCGTCCAATACACCTACATCTCTTCCTGCTTATCACCTAGCCTATACTTTCTTGACCATTTCGATATTTACAAGTGTTCCTTGTTGTTTATCCCTTCAATACACCCTTTCGATATTTAGTATCAAGTCTGTGAAAGCATTTGTTGCTGAAAGTTTGCAGTCTGTCCGAAATCCTCTTGGTGACTCACGGGCGAAATCACTGAAACATATAGCAGCACCGAATTGACATTACTGTTGAAAACTCGGATCTTGTTTGTTGCTCGAAGTACTATAGATCTCCAAACCGATTTTGGAGTGATGGACGGCTGCCTTGCTCTCCCGACTCTGGATGGGTTTCACATCTTCATCCATGACGCCAGCCTGTGGTTGAAATGATGCTGTCCAGTCAGAGAGACGAATTCCTTAAGATTACTCCGGCTCGTAGTGATTAGTCCCCTTTGTCGTTTGCTGGATGTCTTCATCACTTCTGTCCTCTCCATCGTCAACTGAAGTCCTGTCTTCACTACATTCCTAACAACCTTTTAATTTTCGCTTGCATATTTTGAGTTTGTGCTCCATGAAAGACAAATTATCGGTGAAATTCAGATCTTCTAGAGTCTTTTCGTTGTGATGATGTCTGTGTGTGAAACCCACGCGGCGTTGTGGATACCCATGTGCCTGTATATACTGTCTCGAAACACACAGAAGTCTGCAAAGAGTTTCCTGTTCCCACTCATATCGCCAAGCGCCTCTTAAAACATGATGAGTTCTCTTTCTGTGTTGTCTGCTCTCAGTTTGCCTGGCGTCTGTATCCTCCATTAGAATTTCCATATCGTAATCTGTCCTCGGTCTTATCTTGTCTTGTCCATTACTACTTGTAGCTGTGGTAAAAGTCCACCTTCTTCTCCTCGCGGCTTGGGTTGTTTGTATGTCTGTACACTGCACATTTGCCATTCTTCCTGCTTTTGAGTCAATCTTGTTGTTATGAATGTTGTAGGTTATTAGTTCTAAATGCATGACAGGCGTCGGTGTTGTTCGTCACATGATAATAGCTACAACCTCAGTGTGTTTCTTGTTGTCGCACGGTGACTGAAGTAGATCATTCTTCGTCTAGTTAGCAATGTAGAAAACCAACTTTTACTCCACCACAAGTTAGCGTTCGGACATTCCATTTCCCAGAACACTAGGCTCGAATCCACTCCTCCTCGAGATGAGTACTAATGTTATTACTCTTGGTGTGTAAATATGTTTATTTATCTTCCCTCTTGTCAGAGACTAACCTCACCTAGACTACTAGCTTGCTAGTTTTCTAGCCGGTCCCATGCCTGGATAAAGAGGGAGGGTTGGGGCGTGGTGCTAGCGACTCCGACCCGAAAACTCAACCAAACCTCTACAGAAAAAACTTCAATGCACCAATACATTAAAAATTCTATAAATATTAACAGTAACATTATTATTCGCTGGAATCGGGGAAGTGAAATGGCAATGGCTGGCGAAAGCCTTCGGGAAGCCAGTCGGCCGATGTCCCTCCTTTCGATGGAAGCGAAAATAGGGATGCGTACGTGGAATGTTCGTACAATGTACGGAGCTGGAAGGGCAGCTCAGGTAGCCGCAGAAATGAGAAGATATAGAATAGAAGTGTTGGGAATCTGCGACAGCAGATGAAACGGATGTGGAAGGTGCCAACTACCAACTGGAAAGACAATAATCTATTCCAGCCACCTAGAGGACAATCACGAGCACACCGAAGGAGTGGCTATCATGATGTCACAAACAGCAGTCAAAGCTCTCATGCAGTGGGAACCAATCTCTTCCAGGATAATGACAGCCAGGTTCAACTCAAAAAGAAGGAAGGTTACAATCATTCAATGCTATGCGCCTTCAGACGTCTCAGAACAAGAGAAGAAGGAGGCGTTCTACAGACAACTTCAAATAATAATACTCTTGGTGTGTAAATATGTTTATTTATCTCCCTTCTAAGTATAGACTCCATGTTAGAGAAGTGGGACACTTATAGACTCCATGGCTGCTTGTCGTCCACTTCCGTTCGGTCACAAGTGTACATGTTTACAGATTAATAAAGCATGATCGGAGCACACGCAGTTGCTTCAGAACGAGTGGTTACCTCTCATCGACCTTCTTATCAGCAACAAATGTCTAGGTGATTGATCTATGAGTGTTCGTTGTTGGGTTGATGTCGGTGGTCGCCCAATGGTGATAGGTCATCTCTCCGCCTGTTTGAAGTTGAAGGTGGCTGGGAAGAACTTGTTGTTGAGTTTCGACACATGTCCCATATGTGTTTCTGGTACTGGGTGAGCTTCTCTAGTTGTAAATATATAGTGCTATCTATGACACTGTCCTATTCCAGTTACTTGAAACGTGATTAGACCAAGCAACAAATGGAACATAAAACCAACCTCTTCCTAATAAACTGCTAACATTTAACTAAGTTATTAGTTTAAGTCAGCCCGCAGTAACGTGAAACAGGTAAGAAGAAACGTTTACTACAATTTGTGATGTTCTAAGAATGTTTCAAATTATTGCGAAAATGTGTACACACGTTGGAGATGGTTACTGAGAAATTCTAAGCCATAACGATCAGCTTGCTGTGCGATAAATAGAAAACAAATGCACGTTTATCAATTAGGAATTAATCGTACGAACCTTGCTATCGACAGCAACAGCATCTTCACAGTCAAGAACAACTAAATCAGGAATGTGGTACGATAAAGAAGCTGCTTCTCTATGGTATTCGGCCATTTTATTAAGCATTTTCATTCGATCGCCAGGCACATAGAAAAAAGATCGCCATAAACATTCAGTGTTGTTCAATGACTCTCGGCTACTACTGCAGGAAGTAGACTTATTAGGATGCACACAATATTCACGTACGACAGCGCCTGACAATCCAAAAAGTCTACTTGCTTTAAGGGCGAACTAGAAAAGTAATAAGCAAAAATAAAGTCAGAATTTCAACAGGAAATTGACAGTTTGACTATCAAAATAAAATGTTCTGAAAAAGAGTAACACTAAGCTATCCATACACGAATTTATATATAAATTACAATTTTGAAACCACAACACACAGTCAATACATTCGATTTCCACGAACATAGAGCGGTAATTTATTCCAGCACTATGTGACTGCCTGAAAATTCATAGATTTCTATCTCTGTACGTATGATGTATGTACTTTCTACAGATTGAAAAATCACAAACTAGAGAACAATGACAGATACACTTCATTCTAACATTAATTTTTTAACACGAAACTATTCTGAGATATTTAACTTTCAATAAAAGCGTCAGAAAGTGGATGTTAGTTTCCTTACCATAAATAATATTATATATGCTAACGTTTGTTTGTTCAGTGGTCAACAATAACTTGTAGAAGGTGACTTAGCCTAACATACAACTATCACAAAAATAAATTTAGTGAGACAACTCACAATCAGTTCTCAAAACACCCAGGGAATTCCGTAGTTGATGCTCGGCTTTTATTAAAGTTATCTGTCTCCGTCCCCAATCACAAAACCTCTTTTGGAAATCTTAAAAACCAACCCTGTCAACTTCATTTCAACTGCTTACTATTTTATTAGGATATGATCTATGTAGATCCTACACTTCTTCTTGAATAAGTCAGTTAGTTGATAAGATATAAAGTTTATCATTATTATTATTTCATTTGTTAGATTTATCACATTGAATACTACTAGTTACTGGGTGAAGTTTAGTTCAAATGATCATATGGAATTCTTTTGGTTGGCAAACAATTCCCTAGTTATCCTTTAAAAAGCCCCACCCTCTCTCGTTTTGTAAACCACTGATATTATCATTTAACTTCAGATCTTGATACATATACGAAGATTGGCAGATATTATTAAAAGGCTGTGAAACTGTGAAAATTGTAATTTTAACACCTGACCACATTATACAGATATGGTGCTACAAACAAATTCGCTAGACTATTTCACATGCACTTGTCTGAAGTCTTAGTAGTGATAGTATCTGTCTGTACAAGCATCAATGTTACACTGAGTCTCCGTTAGTAGTTACTTACTTCAACACTAATAGTTCGTATCAAAAAACCGAACCACTTTATAAATTTAACATGCAAGTTTAGAAAATTGAAATCACTTATACTTATACGGTATTTTAATAATTGATTGCACACAACTTCCCTAAATTCAGTGTGATGCTGTTGGAACGAAAAGTGGACAATTGAGCAAGGTGTCCAAAAGAAAAAGGATTGTTTAGGCGGTCTGTCAAAAGCATTTGAAAGAAATGGTATATCAAACAGACTGCTACAACGCGTTCAGTAAAAAAAACTACAACAAACTGAACATTCGTATGCATGGTGGCAAAATGCATGCAGCTATTCAGTCAAAGTATGTGATATTCCAGCCAAAAAGTATAGAATCGAAAGGTTCTGGTCTTAGTTCGCTTATTAAATTAAACAAGGATACTAGCGAAGAAGGGATGATTTAGTATATACTAATTGTATTAAAGGTTTCAAATGCATCGCTCAACCTTATTATCTTTAACTATTGATAATCGAGGCTGACTGCTTGAATTTTCAACGTAGAACATTGCGCAGTTCAAGTTCTTACACTTCATACAAGCACACAAAGGTAGAGAAAATTCCAAAAGAACCATTATGAACAGAGATGTACGTGAGGAAGAATAATTTATGACGAATTCGATGGCCGTGGGAGTTCATATTGAGTGGATGTTTCTGAGTCACCTAGAACGATTCGGAACAAAAAATCAATAATAGTCTCCAGGATCGCGAACTTGCAGTTTACACCCCTCCCCAAGTAGTTCATCAATCAAACAGCCAGACTTCATGGAGTGATACCATGTTTCAGTTTGACCGTCCCTAACACTTTTCCAACCAAATTGTATATCAAGTAATGTTACTCGATGTGGATGACGATGGCTGGGCATGAGTAACACGTGACGGCTCTACAAATTCACTGACTTACTTTCCATCCTTACCTAACAATCTGCGTCCAGCTTCAGTATCAACCGTCTCATAGAAACACTCAGCACGGGGGATTGAAGGCAAACGTATTTGGTTGAATACAGGGAGCCACTTCGGGTCTTCCTTATCTGAGAGCTGTGCTGGGCACTACATCTGTCCTTCGATCAACACCTAGATATCATGCTCACGCCACAGATGATGTAGGCTGGCTAATTCTACATCGTCTGACAATCGACAGGAGTGAGTTGTATGTCATATCAACCAAGACAAGACACCTTCCCAGGGTGTTTAGGAGACTTGACATTTTGTCAGAATCTTCATCTAGATTGACTATTATCATCGTCATACTCTCAGTATACGACACTGTTCCCTGGAAACAAACCCATCCGTAAATCACCGAATTTGTCTAGGATTATATCTATTAGTACATGTATGATGAAATTAAACAGAAATGTGGACAACGCTGATCAGAATGAATATGGCTATTGGTAGGTTAATTCGCTCCTCATAGTGTTACCTCCAGCGTTCCACGCTTCTATTCTGAAAACCATTATGTATCTTTTTCAACGTTTCTCCATGATGAATTAAAACAGTCGTACTTTGTTACTTACAGCCGATGCCTTTCTCATTTCTTTGGCTTTAGCCGCCCATCACTGTTCACAGTCGTTTTTGAGACTTTTGGTCAGGTTGCGTCCGAGCAGCTTTCGCTTCTCGTCATATCCGGAACTGGTCTAGAGTGGTCTTTTTCCATTCCTCATTGCGAACGCTGAACCTCAAGACCAACTATACGACAATCCGGTAAAGCAGAATAAGTACGAACTAACGGCAGCCAAGCCAACTATATCTAGCTGATCCATAAAACTATTAACATTTTCACACTAAAAGACTGATGCCTTATAAGTCACTCATCACTTTGAAGAAAAAGACAGGTAAGCTAGCAGTTAACTGCACAGACATACAACGTCCCTCAAGATAATCAATTGCTACATGCGGCAAGATATTTTCATTTGTTACCAGCTCTCACAAATGTCCAAGTCCAGAGTAAAGCAATAAACTGATTTTAATAAGTCAAGCAGATATCAATTGACTTGGGGAAACAAGTACGAAGACAGCTGGAATTGCTATGCAAGTTACGCTAAATAGCAACTAAGCAAATCAAGTACTAAAATATAACACATTCAAAAAGCAAAAAACAAGACTGCTTAAATATTTATTCGTTTTTAGAAAAGTCTTCTGAAATCTAAACAAAACTAGAGCAATATGTCCTTACAACTTATAAGAGAAGCAATGGAGACATAATATCACGAGATATGGTTTTATACTGTTAGTATATTGAATTTTGAACTGCAAAGGTGATAATATGATCAAGGAGTTCAACTTCCTACTTAACTTAATAAAACTATACAAACAAGAATGATTTATTTTATTTTGCAGTGACAAAAGGTATATACAGAGACTCAGAAGCAACATAAATAAAGATAATTGAAGTATGTTGACGAAATATATGTGTTAAATGATTTTCTGAACATTGAAGTAGGGCAAGATTATTCGTATTAGTTGATAGGTGGTTTACTGTTAATCAAGTTTTGTTTCTTTGAATCAGTGTGGAATACGTTTTATCTGTGGTTGGAAATTACACATTATGACGAAGGAAAGTCAAAATTTAGTTCACAGCTATATTTGACGGGTTGAATAACGCAACTACAGAGTATCAGGTTGCGAATATTTCTGAAAGTCGCTCACAATTAGGCATGTGCATTTGCATGGCCCTTTCATAACTAGCATCATCACCATAATACCTTGCACGGAATAGAAGATTTTCTTCTGTAAATAAAGAGAAAAACCGTTAAACCGATATGAGCATAGAAATAAAAAAACCATCACATGTACGCCGTGTTGAAGATATTGAGTTTAACTTTACAATATCAAATCAAAGTACGAAACCAAGCGCTTTCATTTAACTGGCACTCGCACTGGTATACCAAAAATTAATTTCACAGGTTGTGTACCAGAATTATTGACTGATAACTGAGAGGAACACTTACCTTTCGGAGACTGATAATATTGCTGTTACATAAAACTGCAATGGATGAAAACTAATCGATAAGTCATCTATACAATAGTTTCACTTAGTTTTTCCACAAATGTGAAATTCTTTCGCGTGCGAAACCATCAAATAAAGGACTGGGTTAATTCAATTAACAGATAATTATTCATTTTCAAATACTGTATAACAACACCGCAAAAAAGGCACCTGAAGACGTAAATCAATTATCCGTGAACAATGATCTATTAATGTGCGTATGAAAATACTTGACGTCGACGTGAAGATTTCTTATGTAAGTTATTCGAAAAAAATAGTCAAAAACAAGTATTTCCTAGACGGCTTACTCCGACTGAACCTCGATAAATTAAACTGGGTACACTCAAATTTGAGTAGCTAACAATCTTGTCATTCAGTAGAAACTACGAGTGAAAATATACACTTAACAGCTCAAAAAATTCAGTTGATAATTAAAAATAAATACATGCAAAAAAATCAACAGAAAGACTCACTGTAATCCTTTTCACGGAAGCACCTAAACCTAAGATTGCTAATATATTCTTCTTCTACTTGATTCTCCAAATGAACAATATTCCCAGAGAAATCTTGTTCGAATGTCTTTTTAACAAAATAGGGTAGTTTGTGAGTACCAGTTTGTCGCTCTATGTAGTATTTGCTAAATACATTGTAATTAATATGAGATACATTAGTTATTTTCAAGGAGTCATACTATAAGAGAAAACAATGAGAAAAAGACGTAAACAGCGAAGAAATTTTCCTTTCGGCGAAGCATTTTCATTAACAGGGTCATGCTGGATAGTTGTATGGGTCCTGTCCGTCTGAACGGGTCAGTTAGAAGGAAGGACGGCATTAGCCGTCATTGCCTTTTCAGAGTCTCCGCTTACGCCCCAACCGACTGCAGTTCGAATGAACTAAAGGATGATTTCTATCAGAAACTGTCTAGTCTGTTGCAAAATTTAAAACGTCCAGATATAGTTGTTTTAGCAGGCGACTTCAATGCCCAAGTAGGGAAGTTATGCCAAACTGAGAAGTATACAGGTGGTGCCCACGGAGTTCCTGCCGACGAACCGACAACGGTGATCGTCTTCTGCAGTTCTGTTCAGATAGTCATCTGTTTCAAATCGACAATAACTTTAGGTACAAACAGAGACTGAGTTACCTGGTGACCACCGTCACTAAATCAACGTTCTATGTAGATAGACCAGAGAGCGATAGGCTATCGTTGAGGAGGGTCAGTGGCAGACTCCCACTCCTTCTGGAAGACGTGAGTAGGCTTTGATCACGTCCAGGTTCGCGCATATTTATCTTACTATTATATGGACATAAAATAACTATTGGTGGCGAAGCAGTTACGCCCTCAACTTGATCAGGTCGCTGAATCCCTATTTAAGGAAGAAATAACCAAATGCATATCTGAGGTCGATAGCAAGCCTTCTGAAAAAGCCTGACACAATGCACAGTTAGCTGAAGGCACAGTTGTAAAAGCTGTTGATACCCTAAAAACAAAAGTTAGCAAGAGGTAGTGGATTTCCACTACCTCATCCGCACTGATTGGTGCAAGGCTGATTCCGGCGGGCTCCGAACATGATGAGGAGTGAATGCTGCTCAAACGAAAAGTAACGGGAAGTCTTCGTAACCACCATGAACAGTGTTGAGTGACAGAAGCAAAAGAGACGGAAAAGGCATCGGCGATAGGTAACACCAGACAACTATTTAGACTCATTAGGGAAACCGGTGTTTAAGGACAAACGATAAGTGATATAATCTCCGAGAGCGACGGCGCCACAATCTGCTTTCAAGGTAGACTACTAGAACGTTGGAAAGAACACTTTGAGCAGCAATTTAACTGGTCTACGGCCGCACACACATCCAACGCTTCTCTGCATGGAATGAACAAACAGGTCCACCGTCCCTAACTGAGTTTACAACGGCTGTCGCTAATCGGAAAAGGGACAAAGCAGAGGAACCTGATAGAATGATTCCAGAGGTGTTTAAAAGTGTGGAGACAGTGTACTGTCTGTCTTAACTAAGATGCTAGGTAATGTCTAGGAATCACAGACAGCCCTGTCGAGCTGGTTTAGGTCATCGATTATCCCGACAAACAAGGAGGGAGGCAAATCTTCCTGTGATGGTCACAGAGGGATCAGCTTGACCAATATGCTATCTAAAGTTCTAGGCTCGATAATCATGCGTAGACTAAGTGGTGCTCGGGAGGAACATACACAAGAGAACCAGGAAGAGAGTGTATTGATCATATATCTTCACCCATCGACAATTACTCTGCAACATAGGCATACTTACCGGCGTTCAACAGTAGTCATGTTTCTTGACCTGAAAGTGGCATTCCATTCCGTCGACCGAGGTACTATGGAAATGTTTGATTGTGAGGGGAATGACGAGAAAAAACATCACACTGATCAAGGAACTCTACATGAACTCATTCAATCAGCTAGGTGGGAGCCTACGGCGAGTTGTCATCTGACAACTGTGGTGACAACCATTGGTGACCGTCAGGGATGCCGACTATCCCCATTTCTGTTCAATTTCATCATAAATATAATACTAATGGACTCAGCTCTAACTAATTTCAGAGACTCAGGAACCGACTTGTTACCAAGGAATAATCTCGTCGACTCAGAATATGCACTTGATATAGTCCTCCTTCCTAGGTGAAGACGCTGACAGAATGCAGAGTCTTGTGAAGACCTTGAGCTTCAATCTTCGAATGTTTGTCGTGCGATCCACTCCTGTCAAATGCAAGATGATGCTACAGGACTGGATTAAATTGACCCCAAGCTTAGAATAAGGAGTGAAGTGGTAGAGCGTGTTGACCACTTCACTTATTTAGGAAGTTGCATCAGCCAGAGCCAACGGGTTGATCGCTGACGAAATCTCAGCACGGATACAGAAGGCTAGTTTCGCATATGCCAGTTTACGCCGTCTGTGACCTAGTAGATGTGATATCCAGCCGGCTATTTAACAAACGACATGCTCTGCTCAGCAGTCCGGCCCGTCCTCTTTCATGGTTAGCTGTGAGACCTGGCCATTGAGAGTGGAAGACATGAAAAGGCTGGTTAGCTGTCTTTGATTATAGGTACCTGGGTTCTATCTCCCGTGTGAAGTGGTATAATAGGGTGAGCAATATTGAGGTTATGCTTCGGTCGAGTTCTAGGTAGGTGAGAGGGGAGACCAATCGACGAGGCTGTGAAGCTACATCGACTGAGATGGTTAGGACGTGTCACGTTTGCCTAGCCATCGCTTTCCTCGACGGGGAATGCTAGTTGACATAGGGTCAGGCTGGAAAAGAGCTAGCGGTGGTCAAACAAAAACATGGGACCAGTCAATGGAATCTACAACAGTTAGTTTATGCCAAGTAGGAAGATGTAGACTTCCTGGTTGGGGTTCTCGGGATAGTAAAAACTAATGGCTGGAAACAATCGGTGATATGGCTCAAAATCGTTCTCAATGGCTGGTGCAGATGCATCCACTCCTTGTGACTTATGATTTCCAATCAAAAACTATATTGTTCTTCGTTATTACTATTCCTTTGTCTCACACCTCTGTATACTGTCTCCATTATGCTGTTCTTGTACTTTCTTTTCTGGCTTTGTGTGGTACATGGAGTGTGGTGACTTGAGCTGCTGTACGTTGGTGCAAAGTTCTATGTTAAAACCAGTCCGTCAGTGAGTAGAAAAATAAAGCTTCAGATTAACCTCTCTCTATGCTTATAATTAGAAAACATCCTTCAGTTTTTTATGTACCACTTTGAAGCTGAACAAGTGGGGTTTCGGTGGTTTAAATGATTTTTTCACGCTATCAGACTAATTAATTTCAAAAAGTGCTTGAAGGAAACTTAGTTCGCCAAACTACACAGGTGACTGAAAAATGACCTGAAATCACCTTACTGACCACAAATTTGTAACGGAATATATTCTTCACGTCAGCAAAAAACTTTTTTTTAAAAAGAATACTTACAGTAATGATTATTTGATAACCAAAAAATGACAGCAAAACGGTACCTTTGGGAGAATGGAGTGTTCATTGTAAACTCACAACTGACCCGTCATATAACCAACTTGACCACATTTGAAGTTTAAACAGCATTATGAATGAATATATCTATGTGAATACTCAAGCCTAATAAACTCAGTATTTAACAATGTTAATATTTGGATATAATAGAGTTCTTATCTCGGTTTACGTGTTAAAAAGCAGTTACTATATTCGTGTTAAAAAAATTGACACTTTCAATGTTGATTTCCTATAAAACTGCGTCGACGGAAGATATTGTGGTGCTATCACCAGATTCTTATCCAAAGGGTTTGTTTACTTTTAAAGAGAAAGAATAAACACGTTTATCCAAGGGGGGCAAAATATTTGATTGACATTGTTACTGTTGCCGCCATGTGATGTGGGAAATCGAGTGCTCATATGACTTAGTTAAGCCAGACGTTATAACTAGATTCGAGGAAAAATGTACAGGCCTATACATGTACGGTGTCCTCTGAAGTTAATTATATGGACGATAAATAGCAAGTAATATCTACAAGCTGCTCAAGTATCAGAGACAATTGTAAGAATTGGCAGATAATTGGCAATTGGTAATGCCCATGATGAGCATAAGCCGTTAACAGGTCTATGAGATAACAAAATATTCCGGTGACCAAACGAGCGGTACCTAGGATGTGATGAAAAAGAAACGTGTTGCTAGTTATTTTTTTGGACACAACTTATGAAAGAAATACCCTTCTCAACAATTAACAAACCGGACTGGATGCAAAGTCTTTGAATGCACTTACTTTGATTTAGTTAAACTAAAGTACGGGTCTTTCACGAAAAGATTGCTGAAGAATGATAGGCCAAATAAGATAATAAGTGGTACCAGCTGAATGTAGACAAAGTAGTTACTCTGAAAGGAATAGGAGCAAGCATTGATATTATACATGAATGCGTGAATATGTATACGACGAATCAGAGATGTATATCGAAAACAAAAAGAAACCGCACACAGCTAAAATAGGCAGTAATCTTGACAGAAACTCGAACAACACATCTTTTTTACAGACCCTAATAATTTATTGTCATTCCTTGTCTAACATGTAATAGGGTGCGTTACCAGCCACGTATAATGCACAATCTCAGTAGGAGGAATAACTGAAGCTGGTGATGGAATGAGCGTTCACACAAACAGGGGTGTTTTTAAGACGGCTTTATAATACGCAAGATACCAACTGAGAAGCTGAAATCTGGGACACGGACAGCATACTTTAAAGCTTAATCCGAATGGTCTACTGACCTACTGAATACAATGTAGAAAGTTAATTTTTATAACATATTGATGTCAGTCACCTAAAAATCGAGGCGACTGAAGCGCTTCATGATTTCTGGACAACGCCTATTTTGTGTGTGAGATATTACTGACTAAACTAATTCAAGCGATCATTCTAACACTATGACTAGACTACAAAAATTGTTAACCTCAAAAATCTTCTTCAGTACACTTATTAAGTGAGGTATATGCCGATCGTTAATGCAGCTTCTGTCTCTCACCGAAAGTAAATTGATTGTGGAGGACACTATGCTTAATCTAGATTGAAGACCGATCTCATTACTGCTACTTTCTAGCTTTCACTATTCTTTGACGTCTTTACATAGGGCCTGTCATTTGTGACCCATGCTTTATCATTCTTGTGACTAAAACCAGGCGAGAAAAACAGGATTCAAGCGGTCAGCCAAATGCTTCGTCTATTTTTGTTCTTCTGTTATGAGTCCACAAAGTGGCAACCGTTTCTCTCACCAAATAACCACGAGGATGAGATTGACATTTTATGAAGGCCTATCAGTTTGCTTTGCAACCGATTTGACATATTTCATCTAAAGAAACAGCAGCAGTGAGACCGATAAGAACATGCCACTGAAATCACTACCATCCACTATGGACTGGAATGCTTCTCAGAGCCTGTTTACACACGGATAATCACACACTGACACAAGCCGTTATTGTTTAAAGTAGCTGGTATTCTTGTATTCTATAATAGTTCATACTGACTCACGCCATTCAAGGTATGATATGACACCTGAGCATTCATAACAAGCAATAATGGCTATTCCAAAAAACAAACAGATGATCTTTGGGAATGTTATAGTGAGATAACGGAAGGTGACTCACTTCACGTTCTGACTCGCGGGACCTCTGCCGTGTATGTCGATGATCCCGGTATACTTGCGCGAATGGGAATCCTCCATTGAAAAACATGGTGAATACGTCAGCTATACGGGTAACAGAGAAAAGTACAACCTTACCATCATTCTGGAAGAATGTGTCGCCATGTCTATGAACTTGTGCAGACCTCACTTGCTCCTCATCGGCACCGAACTGGTCATATCGTTGTCTTTTTTCTGTATCCATAAGGACTTCGGAAGCTTTCTTGATCTTTTTAAAGGCTTCAGCTGCTCCTGGAGTACTATTTTTGTCCGGGTGGAATTTTAACGCAAGGCTGAGAAGGTCATGAGCAAGGTCTAACTCACATTCTATATGCTTTCTTGATTTCTTCATCTGACGCAGTCCGAGATACTCCAAGGATCTCGTAATAGTCTTTACAGCTAAGTACTTTCTTAAGGGAATCCGCTTGGGTCTTCGTATACTCTTTTCCCGATTGCCTTCCTTTACTGGACTCCGAGGTGCGTTCAGGTGAACCCTGAGATTCTTGTGACCCTTCTCTTACACTAGATGATCGGGACCTGGGCCGTATCAAGAATTCCAGACCTAAAAATGTAGTCGTCTGAATTACACAAACCTTCGTAAGTGATATGTGGGTCAAGTTTCAAAGCTTTTAAAAGAAATTTCCTCGCCGCGTCACGTTCACCCACCGACAATCGTCTTCTAGCTATAAGAATGCACTTTTGGGCTTCATCTTTGTTAGCATTCATATCTTCAGATAGTTGACACACTGAAAACCCAACTCCGCGCCTAAATCGTGTGTATAAACAAAAGTTGATGATGCATTTGTTCCAATTAAGGAACTCGGACTTTGAAATGAGATGACATGTAAGCTGATTGATGTTTTAGTCTTTTCGGGAATACCAAACCAGACTACAATTTTTCAAATTCACTCAAATTCTGGTCCATGTATACATATATTCCTAATTTTTAGACACGTCTAGTTGCCCCGCCTTCTTGAGAAGAGTCAAACGACAAAACTAGTGTGACTCGATAAAATAAAACTGCGAAAGCCATGGTGGATAGAAGTACGGCAGGTCTACCTGTACTTCTTGCTGCCATACCAAATACCCCTTTTCTCAAACCACTATGTAACCGGGGGTTGTACGTCGCCTACAAGAATTTCTCAAGCGCATAAATGAACAAGCGAAAATTAGCTCAGGAGAAGCTTCGGTTACTTTTTCTAATATTCCTGTTATCTTTATTAACCTTTTCGCATTCTAGACGGTTACTTATGGATATGAGAAATAGAAAAAAGTTCACGTTGTATGTTAGACAAAAACTCCATGTCCCAACGCATGCCATGGCAATTAAACCCGCCACTCAACATATTTAGAACAGTTGTTTCAAATCAGCTAACCCGGTGAGCTAAGGCGAATGGAGAGGTTTGAAATACAAGCCCCTTGAGAGCAATTAGGTTGGTTGGGCCGGAGTCAGCAGATAGTTTAATCCAGGATGGCCATACAAAAATCACGAGTGTTATTACTGGTTGAGGCCGCCTGGAAGTGAGCCAGCAGTCGTTCAATCGACTCAGCTAACAGTTTTCCAAGTGTTAGTGAACCTGACTTCATCTGTGTGGGCACAGTCAATTCTTTTTCTAAAATCATTATACAAAGCCTGCTATCCTAAACCGACATGTTTCTGGCTCCTAACTGCTCGACAGCCATAATCCTGTACAGCTAGTTATCATTCAAACTCACGTCATCGTTGTTAAATCCTTTTGGGAAGCTATTTAAAATAATCGGATGAAATCACACTAACTGATGGTATCAGCGTGTGCCGCATGATAGACACACACACACACACACGAGACAAGCAGTTACCCACGTGACTTTAGGATTCGTTTCGATTTCTTTATCAGTGTGAATCATGCAGCTATCGTGAGCTTTGTCTAGCATTCATTTTTGTGGCACTCAACGCCTTCATATCGTTATTTGAAATCTCATGATACATTAGGTTGTTTAACTTGGACCTTATTACTTAATTTTTGCCCGACATGCGCTAGTAAGCTAAACCATAGCAAAGTTATTCACATGAACGCACAAGTTACTGCAACACCTAAGCCGATGACTAGTGGTGCATTACATGGCAGCCTTCTTGGTCCGATGCTGTTTCTCTTATTCACAAATGACGGTCTCTATGATCAAGCATGGCAAACCATACCTCTTCGCCGATGATCTCAAGCAAGCATGTGATTACCGGTGCACTAACATTAGCGTTGAAAGTAAAATTCAAAACGGCCTAGACATTCTAGACGATTGGAACGAAAACTGGTAATTGACTTTCAATTCAGACAAACGCGGTGTAGCCCATTTGGACTCCGGAAACCGGAAATGTGTCTGTATAGGTACGGTGACCTCCCATCAAAACTGAACACGTCACAAATCTCAGGATAAAATACTCAAAGTTAAACCAATCTCACCATGAAAATAGGATGGTTTCTGACTGTGAACGACATACTGGCTTAGTTCTGCTTAACTTTTACACCCAAGAAGTAAGACAAGTTATATTTATAAGATATGTGTCAATGGCCGTGAACACTGAACGTTTGTTTTTGGAAATGGTAGCCGTTGTTGGGCAACTGGAATGCGCGATTGGTTCGATCGTGTACAAGTTCGGCGAAAACGACCAAAAATAAATAAAAACTTTTACTGTTCCCTGCTTTAATTGCCAAACAACATACCTTACTTCTTACGATAGTGGTGTCTTGGAGTCAAAGTCGAAAACAGTACATAGTTATTATCAGTTCGGAGCATCTTCGTAGCAATAGGAACTTAGGTTTAAGTTCCTTGTCAACATGTTTCCCCAAACTTGAATATTGTGCTGTTTTACATAGTGACCTAAATCAGCAGACCAAAAAATATCGAAAGTGTCGAGAAATTCATCACGAAACGTATTTTAGGTTTTGACCAACAAATTGAATATGTAGAAAGGCGCACGTGACTGATACTAGAAACTCTATGTTTCGCGAGAGTGAAATGCAACTAATTTGTACTCTTCGAAGTCATTAGGAAACATTGTTACAGTAATTCATCCATAACTTGGACAAATATTGAATCATATTATTTGCAAAACCACGACCACCTTTTCAAGGTATCTACCCACAGAGAAATCAACAGGGTTAGCGTTTTCACCATTGACTATTGCACTCTCTGGAACCGACTAACATATGAGGTCGGATGTTATGGAAAGCCTGGTGGGTTCAAACGAAACCTAGGATGACACAATAATATGTCCACTCTAGCTCGAGTAACAGACCACTACTTTTGGTAGAATGGTGGATGAAAGCCAGTCCGGTCTTCATTGTGGTCAATTACATCTGTCCCAGTCCGACTATTCATTCATCGGACGTTTAACCAACTTTCTGATTTTCTCTTCACTACAATCTTCAATAAGTTGGGTAACTGTAGGTATTTTTAGAAACAAATACATTGTGATGAGAGCCGTCTGCAAGCCAAAATTATAGACAACAATTTACGCTAGTGTTTACATCCCAAATCAGGGTCATGAAAAAACAATAACTAAGCTTAACCTTGAAGATCCCACCGACCAATCCATGCTGAAAATTCCACACTTGTACCGAAAATACAGTGTGGAATCAAGCTGTAATCAAAAATAAAAAAACAGAAAAATAATCACAGATGACTTAACGTGTGCAAACAGAATTAGCAGTTATATAACTTAACTTTCTGAGAAACAGTCACAAGCAGTACAGCATAACCTACAGCAAGAAAACAACTTATCAGAAGACGTTGCTTCTCCGCTGACAAAAGTGTACATAGGAATCTATAAATATCTCTTGATTTTCTCATCAAGCGATAAGTTGCTTGGCCCTTGTCTACTGTATTTACAATATTAGCAGCCATGCCTTTTAATATATTACACACATATAGCTAGTGATGTACTCCACTTTTTGTGTTGAAAGGACTACCTTCTATCAACAGCTATCCATTTTAATATACTTTTTGAAATTTCTAATGTTAAAACATTTCATGTCATTTTCGCCATAACACAAGTTAATGGGTTACCTTGCAATGTCTAACGCACACCATCTGAAAATTGGTCACAAAATATTTAGCATGACAAGTTCTGCTAACCAGCTGTTTTTCTTACGACCATTCTACATAAATTTATCATTAATTGTTGCCCGTTCATTTTCTTGTCAAGATGCTACCCCATTGGCCAAACAAAATTTCGTGAGACAACTTACTGGGGAGCTTGTCCTAGAGACTCTAATCTTTCAGATCTCTGAAGCCACTTCTCACTAAAATATCACTTATATACTTCATGATAATACTTTTATCTAAGTCCTGTTTTCAATTTAGTTGAAGATTGAATGATCAATTCATTGTTGTTTGCTCAAAACCAACTTCCCCAATTTTCGCGGAGGCATCAATACACCAGTCATCGTCTCATCGGTCGCTGTTCAAAAAGAAGTCAGGACAAATCTGTCAGAAGTAACATTGTGATTAATTAGTGCAATATTTGTTCGCAGACCCTAGTAAAAACATTATTTTTATATGCTGGTGTAACAATAAAGAATCCTTGAGTCACCAATCGGTCTTTCGAATTTTTCGTCCGTTATTACTAAGCGTTTCTGAAAAAATTCAAGGAACGGCTTGAGCCCGAGCGTAGCAAGAGCTGGGCATTAACGGTTTATGAGACGTGGCTGACAGTTTCTGATGGTGAAGTCAGTTTTCGATGGTTTTGGACCGCTGGTGACAGTTTCGATAGTCGCCGTTCATCTTTCCTGATGCCGGCCAAGTACTCTTTGAACAAGCAATATCTGGAACATTTTGGAATTGGGTCAAGTTCAACAATGCCTGGGTCAAAGAAGGGACAGAGTGTCTTGGATGCAAACAGGAAAGTAAGTCATGGTGACTTGTCTGTTAATTGTAACGATGTGTCTGATGTTAAGCATGATATGGTTGATGTTACTGTTTCGCCGTCCAGGGATAATAGGAACATCAAACTCCCTAAATTTGAACCACGGTGTTTTGATGGAAACCCGGCCGATTATTTACAGTTTGTAAAGGAGTTTGAGATCATGTTGAGTAGTTTTCTATTAAGTGATGAATTGAAATTGATGTATTTGATGAGGTATTGCACTGGAGATGCTTCAAGAGCTATACAGTGTTGTAAGTTTATGAAGCCAAAAGAGGGCTACTACGAGGCTATGAGCATATTACGTCAAAGGTTTGGAAGACCTTCGATGATTGTAAGGAACGTATACGAAGCTGTCAAAGGTAATGACAGTCAACTTCGAGATGACTCCAAGGCAATTACTGAGTTTTTAGATAATCTTATGACTTATAAGAATACCTTGATTTCTATGAATTGCATGAGTGACCTCAACTCGAGTTTGATACTAGAAGTAATAGCAAGACGCCTACCTACTCGACTGCAAAGGAAGTGGGTGAAGATAAGCTCCCGTGTGGAGGATGAGGGTATCGAGCCAAAATTTGATGATATCCTGAAACTAGTAAAAGATAGTGTCAATCAATCGATGAGCAAGTTTGCCAGTATATTGAATCTCACCCCTAGAATAGAGCAGTCTGAGGGTAAAACGCAATCATTGATGACGAAAGGGCCTCAGAGAGGTGGATATCGAGAAGGCTCCATGATATCTAGTAATGCATATAGATCTAGTGAGTGTAACAGGTTTCGTAGTACATCGTCAACAGATAAGTTGCAAGATGCAAGACAAGCA